TAAAAAAGTATATATATATATATATGGTGGTTGATCAATATTCTTTCATCCTGGAATGGCCATTCTATATAAAACTCCTTACATGGGGTTTTCGATCAACTCCCATATATACATCCTCTTGGGAATTCCAGGTAAGGGTCGGGCACTCCATTTTAGAGACCGTCAACACCAGGTCGGTGTCTCAGACTGGGCTTGAGCAAGCTTTCTTGAGAAGATGAGAGAAGAAAAGTGAGTTGCACGCAGCTTCTCTTGCCATGATGAATCAACATTACCAATGAATATACTGGAACATATGACACATTATCAAAGACAAAAGTCTGGTTAGAACAGAGAAGTATGAGCATCTAGCAGGAGTTGCTGAAGTTGGTCGTCCGCGCCAGCAACGGCATTTTCCTGCTGAGCACCAGCTAGACCAAAGAGAAACACTTTCTGCAACCACTGAAGTTGGCGACTGCACAACAGGCAGTGGTTTGGTGCCATCTTGACAACACCAGAAATGCTGTCCGACGAGGCCTCAAAAAGGCGTCTTCAGAACGGTTCTATACTCCATCGACGAGGTCTTAAAAGTGAACCCGGTGCAATGCCGAGCACTAAGCGGTTCAGAACAAGGGCCCCTCGTGTCCAGCCCATTCGCTCGATGCTTTGTGTGGAAAGCAGATTTTGGACCATGTCCTCAGGGTGTATATAGTTATTTGACGCGGATCTTCCCAATAAGAACGAAAGGGTCTGGAATTGAAGGTGAGTAGAAAGTGCAAGATGAATCCCGTAATCCGTTGTGTGAAGAAGGATGAAGAAGGCATTTTCGGGTCATGCAGAGTCAATTCTCTACTTTTCAGGCCCCTCGTCATGCAAAATGATGTTGGCAACAATAAGTCGACAAACCATGACAAACCTCCAAAAAACCTCTTGGTCAAGAAGTCTGGATAAGAGCAAAACATGAACGCGATCAAAGTGCTGAAAGCGCCTCCTGATCACTCAGCTGCCGCCAGAAGCGTCGGTTTCCTTGGGCCAAGCGAGCCAAGTCCTCGTGCCAGCCAGGTTTTTAGGACAGGTGGTGACCTGTTGGGGGGTATGGCACATTGCTCATGTCAAAACGTTGCTCATAGGTAGGTGCTCAGACACAGACACGGACACGTAGTAACACGGTCAGTTTCCACTCCAAATCCGATCTGGGATGTGGTTTGGAGGTCCAAGTGGTGCACATCCGGGCCTCGCCATCACAACAGCGGGCCACGAGCTGCAACGATTCCACCGTGGCCTGTCAGCCACATGACTACTGTGTCGACTTCATGGGCCTCAACCTGGTCCTTCACCTCTTTAAGGATCCTTAGAAGGTCCATCCAACTCCAGTCCAACCGAGGTCTTTGACTAATGCATGTTCCGGATGTGCCGTGAAGGTCTGGATGGCTTGGTGCTTTGATTCACCATCCTCGCGTACATGGCCAAGTCGTCCCATACAACAGTAGTGCCAGTAGCATCAGTTAGGATCAAGATCTCACTTCCGGAGCTGCTGCAGAGCCAGTAGGCTCTGAAAACAACCTGCAGAATGACTGTCGTCTTGAGCTTCCAGTTTTTGACCTAGAGCATCCTGAAGGTCCTAAAGGGTAGCGGCGGTGACCGTCGTCAAGCCCGCATTGACCGAAACAATCCGAAAGTTACTAGTAACTGCTAGTATCTGCTGGCATTGCCACTGGGAACAAAAAGCTACTAGTAACAACGTCATTTCTACTAGGAACAAGAAGCTAGTAGGTTGGAGGCCATTGCTGCTAGTAACAAAACGCTACGACATGGGAACGAAAGTTGCCACCTGATCCTCTCCTTTCAGGCTCTGAAGGACCATAAACCCAACCTTTATGTACACGCTGTTTGGTCTTGGGGGTCTCCTGAATCATGCTTTCGCAGGAAAAAACGCTCGATTGAACTCAACGGGAAGTCTAATTATTGGATATATTGGGTGTGGATTAGGGGAGAGAGAGAGAGAGAGACCCTTTTGGAAAAAAGGAAATAGACCCAACCCCCTTGGTCTTTGTTAGCCGATGAACCCTGCTTGCACGGCATGCCAGGCCTAAAAGACCCCCTCGGTTCGGCGTGTTTTATTCCAATCTGCTTGTTACACACCCATACGCCACTCGCTTGTCTCATGGCATCGCTACTAGGAGCAAGGACGCTACTAGGGGCTCCTGGCATC